TTAAGTTTGTGTTGAAGTCCTTCTGCATATGGAATGTGCACATGTGAGAGTCTGAGTGAGCAAAGGGGAGTCCACATCTACACCTTCAACACGCCTGTGCAACCAGGGCCTGATGAAAAATGGAACATGACCAGCCTCCTGAAGACTCCCGGGCTCCCTGCAAGCGCTGCCCACGCAGCCACGATGCTGACTTCTAGCACCATCTGCTGGCTCTCTCTGGATCACTCTTAACTCCTTCCCTTCCATGTTAGTTGTTCCTCAAACCCTAGACTCCCTCTCATTTCATCCACTGACCGTGTCCTCTCACACTCTCTGTATGTCACAGCACAGACTGTGCCACCTAAGACTCCTGGTTGCAGGCCATGCCAATGAGACCACTGGGTTGAATTCAACCCCAGCGAGGCGATCAGCACTGCCCAATTCCACACCATGCACAGCACCCCAACCCTAACCAGCGAGCTCAGGAAGGACGCCCTTGGAATCAAAAGGAGCCAAAGAAGACAAGAGCCAGGTGCTAGGACACCACATTAGTGCCACAAGAGGAATAACTCATGACAAGATTCCAACACAAAGATGAAGAGGATGCCCATGTGCAAAACCAGCGTCGTGCCCAGTGCAGGACGCACATCCTCCTACCTGAGTCCCCGCCTGCACTCAGGGAGAAGCCGTCACCATAACTACACATCAGTCCTAACACACGAGTGCCCCTCTGCACGTGGTAAGACCATCTCCGTGACTTTGCCACTGGTCTTACTGCATAATTTTGGCTAATCTAAATTGTAATTTCAGCTGTTATCCCTGCCCCCCCCAATTATTATTTTCATACAGAAAAATTTCATCAAGAAAAATAGTGTGTATATGTACTTACATAATTTGTAGCCCACCAGGATTTTAACTTCAAATACCACTGTAGTCTTGGTCCGAGATTGACAGCGAAATCTTGTGCAAGTGCCGTCATGCGTTTGAAGTCTCCTTCCTTCATAAGAGGCTTCACCGACTCCAGATACTGGGGTTAACAAAGAACATTAACCCAGTTAAAACATGTTGATCAAAGCCTACAGTTTCCTCACCTGTGCCTTAAAACAAGTTACAGCATATTTAAAAGATTTTAAAACCTTCCCTAAGTTGGTCTTACCAGTCCACAGACAAGTTAACTCACTCCAGTGCTAAATGATGCTATAGGCTAACGATAATCAAACAATTAAACTTTTTATCCTTTATTGGCTTTAAAAGCATCACAAACCCTGCATCACCACAAAATCACCAAAGTGGCAAGGTCACTGGTTGACGAGGAAATTTCAAGAGTGTCTCTTTTCTTTTTTTTTTTTTTGTCCTTTTTTTTGTGAGACTGGCCTCACCGCGCTCAGCCAGTGAGTGCTGTGAGCGCACTGGTCATCCCTATATAGGATCGGAACCCGCGGTGGGAGCACTGCTGCGCTCCCAGCACCGCACTCTCCCGAGTGTGCCACGGGCTCGGCCTAAGAGTGTCTCTTTTCTATTAACTGGCCCTTAATAAAAGATCTGTTCTCACCTGAGGTACAGTGGTGACCTGAGACAGTGACCACGAGATGGGGTGGGTAATGCGGGGAGCTAGTCAGGGCTGGGGTCGGGCAGGTGCTCAGGCAGTACGATGGGAAGGAAAAGCTGGAATGGTGACAGGGGACAGGGACGGTCATGATGCCAGGCTCCGACCAGGGCTCCAGGTCCAGTTTTTAGCCCCTCACCCTTTGCCAAGCACTGCCTTGGTTGTACAGGCACCAGATATAAAAGCACGTTGGGAGCAGTTCATATATGCGACTTTCTCTAAAGACACTCCCAACCCCGCAATTTGCCATGAAATGTTCTACTCCATCCAGTTGCTTGTCTGCTGTAAATCAGCTCTGGGGCGGCCGCGATCTCTAGGGCCACTCCCTATATGTTGACGGGTAGGGCTACGTTCCCTAAAAGAGAGGGTGTTAAACACCTTGAGGCTTATTCAAATTAAAATGTGCATTATCGACAGAAAATCATGCTCTGAACACGCTGAAGCGGAACACTGATCTACACAAGACGGACAGACTCACCGAACCAGCCCGAGGGTCTCAGTCTCCCCTCATTCTGCTGATGGTGGGGGGGTCCCTCTCAGCATCCCTGACTCACGGGTGAGGACACAGAAGAGCAGAGATGGGAAAGCACTTGCCAAGGCCAAGAGAGTCTCAATAACTAAGCCTGGACTCAAACCCCAAAGCCTAGAAGTTTCCTTTCTATAGTTCTAAATGCGGCCACAGGGCGTGGTAAAACTGGGACGCTCGCACATTCCGGCTGGAGAGTGGAAAGCGGGGGCACTGCACAGTCTGGTGGTGTCTCAGCAAGTGAGACACAGACTCATCGTAGGACCCCGCGACTCCTCTCCTGGTATACAAGCATGCTTTGAAAAGTTTGCGGAAAAACAGAATTAAAAGTTACATGAATCCTTCCATGAACTTTTTGAAGTACCCTTGTATGCCCCAAACGAGTGTGCAAATGAAAACTTGTACGTGGGTGTTCATAGCAGCGCTGTTCGCCATAGCCAAAGGCTGGGAACAGAACGAGTGTCCACCAACAGGTGGATAACAAATCGTGTCCATGCAATATCATTACACCATAAAAGGAATGGAGCACCAACCCCTGCCGCAGCATGGCACAACCTTGCAACCATGGTGCCAGGTCAGGAAGGGCGGCCACACTGGGCATGATTCCACTTCTATGAAACGTCCAGACAGGCCAAGCCACAGAGACAGACAGCCGATCAGTGGTCACCAGCAGCTGGGGGAGGGGGACGGGGTGACCGCTTCATGGGTGTGGGGTTTTGGGTAACGAAAAAGTCCTGAAACTGGATAGTACTAATGATTGCACAACATTATAGATGTACTTAATGCCACTGAGTTGTATACTTGAAAACGGTTAAAATAGTAAAATTTGTGTTTTGTATATTTTACACAATTTTAAGAGAGAGAGCTGCTCCCTCCCATGTAAGAAAAAGGAAAGAAATGGGCTGTTTGGAGGAGGACATGAGAGTCCTGCCTGCACCTATTGTCACCACAGGTTTGCCCCCAGGGAGCCGGCTTTGAAATGGGGGTGTGTGTGGGTGGGTGGGGGGCAGTGCCCTCAGGCACGCTGCGACCAGTGACCACCCCCACACAGCTGCGCCAGGGTCAGCTGAGGGACACTCACAGGTTGTCTGGTGACCCTCGCCAACCAGATTAAAACCTCCAGATCATTTGCCACCATCAACAGGTGAATGGACAAATAAAATGGGGTCTGTCCCTATAATGGAATATTATTCACCTACAAAAAGGACATTCTGACACATGCTACAACAGGAACAAACCTTGAACACACTACGCTGAGTGAAGGAAGCCAGGCACAAAAGGACAAATACTGTATGACTGCACTTACATGAGGTCCCTAGAACAGGCGAATTCCTAGAGACAGAAAGGACAGAGGTTCCCGGGCTGGGGGAAGCAGATTGGGGAGTCACTGCTTAATAGCTATAGAGTTTCTGTTTGGGACAATGAAAAGGTTTTGAATATGGAGAGGGGGGACACAGCAATGTGACTATAATGAATGCCACCGAACCTACGTGTTAAAATGGTAAATTTTATGTATATGCCGGCCACAATTTAAAGCAATAATGTAATACGTCAAAAGCCACTGAGCTGTGTATTTCAAGTGAGTGAACTTTTTATGGTCTATAAATCATATCTCGATAAAGTTGTTAAAACAATAAAACATCTACTAGGCAGTATCTCTATCAAACATGACACCTTCTTAAAAACACCTATGATGCGATGGTACATTAGGGAAAAAAGGAGATTCTCTATAACATCCCCACAAGGTACACTGCTGAGAGCTAATACAGCTAAATGACAGCAAGCTCCTTTGCAGTCACGATTAAGACATAAGCTTCATCCGAAAGGCGACTGGCATCTCAGAGGGTGACGGGGAAGCCACACCTACCCTGCTCACGGTGTCTTTGACAGCTGGGACCGGCAGGCGAGGCAGAGATGTCTGGAAGCTGTACAGCATGGGTTTTCGGCCTGAAAAGATCTTGACCATACCCTGAAGAAAACAAGTACACTTTCAAAGACGTGACCACGTGAAAGATCCGAAACCAGTTCTCCTTTGTACACGACCTGCTGACTTCTTACTGATTTTTTGTGGCCATTTTATTTTTCCTCTAGTCTCTTTTCTGCCCCTATACTTACAGCCTCTAGCAAACACACATATAACTCCCCAATAAAAACCAGGTTGAATAAAAGCCAAGTCTGGCAGAAGCCTTGGGACACTGTTGCCCCTGTGCAGTTCTCTGGCCAGAACCCTGTTTGGGTCTGTGATGTCGCAGCCCAGCCGTGCTCCTGCACACGGTTGAGGCCCTTGGTTTGGGATCGGCTCGAGGTTCTAGAAATGGTGGTCAGGTCTGAGCTGAGTGCCTGGCCCTCAAGCTGACCTCAGGGAAAGCAATGCGGTCCCCTGGATCGCCGTCCAGCCTCGTGGAGAGCACGCTGCCTGCTGCAGGCCCTTGTTTTAGGCTGGTTGATCTAGACCTGGTGGAATAACTGGTCACCTCACGCAGACCAAAACAGACAACTTCCCAGGGCTCACAGGGTGGGGAGGTGGCGAGTCTTGGGGTGACAGCGTTGGACTGAGCCTGACGCCAGCCATGAATGCATCCTAGGGAACTTCGTCTGACCCGTTTTGAAAAGTGTGGGAAACCACCTCTGAATTGCTTCTAGTTATTAAATTCTGATTCCTTAAAAATCGAAAAAACTTACATCCAAACACTGGCAGGAAATTGGTTCGGGAAAGACTGTAGCCCAGGGGTGTGTGGTGGGCACTATGGTGACTCCCAAGCTTCTCTTACAAGCACGTCCCAAGATCAGGGCAGCAGGCCCAGCCCCCAGCCGCAGCCACCATCTGAGACCGAGCAGGATGGCCCAGCAGCCCACCTCCAGGTGCAGACAAGTGAGCCAACACTGACGTGCCCACCACACACACACAAAGCCATGAAACAGCCCCACTGGAGGAAAAGGTTTACAGAAAATCTCATTATGACCAGGTTCATTAACCTCATATAGGCCACTTCACAAAACATGGTTAAAAAAGTTCATGTTTCTTTACAAAATGCCCAGCTCCAAAGACCCAGGCTGGGCATGGCCATTTAGCTCCATTGGTTAGCGCACAGCCACACAACACCAAGGTCGTGGGTTCGGATCCCTACAATGGCCAGCAGCAAAAACAAAAAAACACAAAAAAAATCCCAAAGACCCAGGCAGAGTTTGAAAAGCCCAGAGAAGCTTAAGGTCATGACTAAAAGCAGGCAGGTGGCACTCCTGGGTGGCACACACCCTTCTGGAGGTCTGCAGTAGTTTAGAGGGGCCTGGGCCCCACAGAGGGAGGCCTCAAAGGTCCAGAGGTGATTCCTGTGTTAGATGGTTTATTTTCAGGAAACTGAACTCATAAAAACATTGAAGTAGTGAAATTCAGATAAACGTCTAAGCACATGGCAAAGCCTCAAATAAGGGACCCTTGGGCTGAGGGAACACGCTCGAAACTAAGAGTGAGTCATGGGAGTCAGGTCAGATAGGGCAGCCGAGGAAACCACTTAACGCCTGACCAGGACTTAGTCAAAGGAGCTACAAAGAACTGGATGGGTGGGTGGCAACACACTGAATGAATGACCTGCGCTGCACACCTGCAGAGCTCGCTATGAAATGCTGCAGAGCTTGCTGACATCATCAAAGAAGTACACTCTTTGGCCCACGTGCACGTGTCGTGGTGCACCGAACCTCTCCAGCTGTGAGCGGCCGAGACCCACATCACAACCAAGAGTCAAAGGAGCAACAACCCACGAGGTCCCTTCTTTCAAAAGCAAAACCATCCACAGCGTTCCACGCCGAGGGGAAGGTCACTCACCATCCAGACCTTGGTGGCGCGGCTCATCTTGCCATGCTCGGCGAACATCCAGCCGTGGTAGGAGAGCAGCACCTTGAGGGAGTAGCGCATGGTAAAGATGAGGGCCACCCAGAGCCCCGTACCGAACAGGAGGCCGCTGACCACGTCCTGCGTCTGGCCGGACATGTAGCCCCTGCGGAGACAAGCCAAGATGGGCACACACCTTAGCGTGGACGGCGGGCTGCGGGCAAGGCCACGTGAGGCCATGCGCCGGGCCAGCAGCCTTCTGTGGACACAAGTGACATGGAAGCCCACAGCGGTCGGGCCTCCTCATGGAGGGGACTCTAACACTCACCCAACGAGCAGAAGACTCAGGCATTATTCTCCTCGTGGCGTCAAAGCGAACCGGCCCAATCCTCTTTGGTGGGTTTCATAATCAAGGCTAACTTGTATAATGTGGAAAATATATACAACTTCCCCCAGGATCTAGGGACACATGGCGGGGGATGCTGAGGGGCTGAGAGCTGCCCACATCGCACACCATGCCCCAGACCAACCCTACCCAGCTGGTGCCGTGTCCTTCTGCCCTTTATGATTTTTCTTCCTTCAATCATAGCTGTGGGTTTTGCCATCCCTCCTAAACTCAAATCGTATGTGACAACTATTATTTCCAGTATTTGTATCAAAAGAGCTTGGTTTTGATCTAGATGGGACTATGCATCATGAATAAATGAAGAAATTGCTCATGTACGATGATCACTTCATAAACTTAAATACAGAAAAGGTTTCCATTTTATGGTAAAAAGTATATTTTATGGTAAAGATTGGACTTCAACAATGAGATGGAATGCACCTATTTTGTGGTTTTTAGTCTTAGCTGTTTTGGAAACTACAAAATATTTTAAAGATAAAAACTACTTAAGTGTGCTTCAAATGATCAGAACAATCAATACACATAATCTAAAGGCATCTCCAATATTTGAAAACCACCCATCTGAAATTGTATAATATTTAAGTGACAGAAACAAATTATCTTCAAGATAGAATATTTTTTGGTTCACAACTTGTATCTTTCTATAACCTGTCAAATCTAACGTTCAAGTTTAACTGTAGTCTCTACTCTAAACTTAGGTTCTGTTCTGATTATCTCATCTACAAGCAAACTTGGATTTGGGGACTTAAAAGGCTATCTTTTAGATAATCTACATTTTAGATTTGTAAGAACTACTTTACTGAAGGAAAAAGGCATACAAACTTCTCAATTCACAAAAATCAAACGGTATTGTAGCATAAACAAATAAATGACACATTCAGGATTTTTTTCATGTACACACACAGGCACTTGAATGAAATTCTGCCATTTGCAGCAACATGGATGAACTTAGAGAAAATTTATGTTAACTGAAATAAGCCAGGCACAGAAAGAGAAATACCGCATGTTCTCATTCGTAAGTGGGACCTGAAAAAAAAGAAAAGAAAGAAAAACACAACAATCACATAATTCCTTGAACTTTCAAAAGGAGAGAAAAGAACCAAGCCCACCAGATGTGGGAAAGAGGGGGAGGGTAAGGGAGAAATTGGTAAAGGGCCACAAAAAATGTTTACATTATATAATGTTAAAAAAAAATTACATTAAAAGAAAAAAAATTTGGGGCCGGCCCGGTGGCGCACTGCTACAGTGCGCCGCTTGGGAAGTGCGGCGGCGCT